CCTGGGAACATCACATTGCAATTAATAATATGCATTACAAAATATTGTATTACATTGTGGAAAATTTATGAAGTTATGAATTTTTAATTTAAAATACGGGAAATGAATATAGATAATAGCTCAAATTTAAAAATTTATAGATGCTTGTTTTACACTCCACCGTCTGTTGATACAGATGCATATCACATGGATCCTGTCGGTAGCTTTAGATATATAACGGTAATTTCACGGTCTGCGATTGTTTTCGGCGGACTGCCAGCTGTTAGAACTTTTACCACTAATTTATGCAATGTAAGTATTCCTTAACACGTTCAGATGACAACCGTGGCGGGTGTTGTCTTGACCACAAAGAGGTAAATAACCTTTGCATGTAGCCGAATCCGTATCAGAGACTGAACTTTGAGGTTGCGCACACGTATACCTACTGCATGAATGAATGGTTCCAAAGTTTACGTTCTCTGCAAATGAGATAAAAGACCGCTAACGAAACCGCACACGAGTTGTTGGCTTTTATTCTCCCTCTTTATCACCCCCATCATCTTCCTTTTTTTTTTTTTTTTTTCATTTGTCTGCATGTTTTCTTCGCCTTTTGTTTTTGTGCGGTTGGGCTATAAGGTGATAAGGAGAGTAAATGTAAATACGGATAGAGTTCTGTTTTTATCTCGAAGTTTCAACTTTTGCGGATGCTTAGCAAGAAAGGTTTTCCAGCCTTGAATTAATTTTTTTTTCTCTTTTCCCCTTAATCAAAGCAGATTTTATTCATTAAAAATTATGTCAGTTAAGATTATATAGTAAATCTCTATAGGTAATCTTAAAAAAAAAGGTTGCCCATCATTGACAGACTAGATACGACCACTGAACGCCGATAGTTCGACCTAAATTCGAATCCTGGCGAGGCTTATCAGCGGCCGACCGGATAAGATTGATGAACACTGGTAGTGAGTGAACTGACTGCATAGGCGTTTTTCATAGTTTGTCTGTTCATAATGTGAATATGAGCAAATTTCATTTTAGAAAGTCCTTCACGCAGGCATAGGTCTTAGTGTAATTTGCTGAATCGATTAAAGTTCTAAATCGAATCTCGGTGAACGGCATTGCTACATGTGTGTTTAGTGTTTTTCTCATGCGATAAGTGGATATGAGTCTGTTTCGTTTAGATAGCATACTATAAAAAAAAAATCTGTGTTTTGGTCAGAAAAATCCTCACACTCTTACCCATATTCGAATAAACAATAAATATGAAATTTTTGAGTTTACAAAATCTGACAGCATTTTGAAAATTTGAAAAGTTTCAAAACACTGTTTTATTGTCACTGTAGTTGTATTTACAACTTTAACTGTCGTTATAGTTTTAGGAGGTAATTTTTTTCAGCTGTATGTTTCTAATTGAGTAGAATAGTTTATCAATTTTTGTACATTGCTTTACTTGCAATAATTTCTCTGCTTTGTATAAATGCTCGTACAGTCTTTCCTCGCATTTGTAATCATTTGCTTGAAGAAAACATGTAAAATTATTTAAGCTTTATTTACATTAATATTTGCATATCAGTTACGTATATAAGTACGGCTAGAATCAAATTAGATGTTGCAGTCAAATTTCCGTTTCATACGTGAAGTGCAGCTATTAAAATTTCCCAAACTAGTATTGTTATTCAAATAGAGCTGTTTTTAAAAATATTATCGTTGTGATCATTTCTTCATTGTGTTATATCTGTTTGCATATTTATTTCCTAATCAGAGTAATTTTTATTGTATGAAAAGTGTGTTATTTGCATGACAAGTACATGGTTGCGCTAAAAGACTCGTTTCTGCAATAACTTTCAAAATTACTTGAATTGCGATTAAATTTTTCTTTCATTAAATTTCTTCTTCTCCCCCGTTTTTAAAAATTTTTTCGTGTTCTTTCGTACTGCCGAAAGGGATATATATATCTTCTTATGTGAAATTGTAAAATTGGGAGCAAACTCGGATTGAAGACAGAAATATTGATCTCAAGAAATAATAAAAAGAAAATAATTGAATGACACTCATAAATGAATACATTCGTGCAAATTAAGAATCTGCCTGCATCTATTCGTTTATTCAGTTTATATTTACGTTCCGAAAATAGCGCACCCTTGAGCTTGTGAAAGAGCATTTTGAAATCTAGGAAAATCGGAAGTAGTGCTGCATATAACAAAATATAATTATTTAAAACATTTTCTGCGTTTTACATAGTTTTAGCAGCCTGCTCTCTTTTAAAGTTGACCTGCACTTCTAGATGAAAGAGATTAGATTTCTTTTTCTCTTCTCTCTCTCTTTTCTTTCTTTTTAATAATTTAAGTAAAAAAGATGTTGAAAATCTTTGTTATTTTGGTAAAAGAAGTTTATTTTGCTTTCCCATTGCCCTGAAAGGAAATTTTATTGAATTTTGTTCTGTTTGATTATTGTATTCATAGTATATCATTATAAATTATTCTTCTTTGTTTATTTCGTGAGCCGTTGATTAGCTGTAAGCGGTACTCTTTCTTTTCTTTTTTTAAATATATTTAACAATCTTTTCGACATATTGTCAATTCTTATGACATATAAGGATTTTTTGTCTAGTAATATGGAGCTTAATTTCAGTAATTAATTTATTTTATTGATTTTGGATTTACTTGATTATGGTTACAATGTCTGAATGTTAGTAGTTCATCTTGTGTTTGAAGGCAGGAAGTTAAATTGACTACATGGTTTGCTTTCTGTGGTTTTCTTCATGCGTAACGTGAATACGAGCCAAAACCAGAATTTTTTAAGAACAAAAGTTTAAAATATTATGAAGAGAGTCTGATCTCGTTTAAATTTCCTATAATCAAATTTTAATAAATTTATATTACTAACGCAGATCTTTAAAAAATAAAAATCACTCTTCATCGAATTCTTCTGCTTAACATTTAGACATTTCTGATTGTCATAAAATGCTGCTGAAGTGAACTTTCTTGAAATGAGAGACCGAGATTAATAGGTGTACTAGAGGAAAAAATGAAAAAAGTGTCATAGAATTCAACGCGTTAAGTGGAATTCCCAGAACTAATTATTGTTACTTTTTCAGAGTTAAAAACCATTACGAAAAATATAACAATAAAAATGACGTCTTCGTTATAAATGTTAATTCTGAGAAAATTTATTGAATATGAATACTTTTCTAGAAATATATTAAAGAGTAAATTTTTAAAACGGTGCCTGAAGAACTATGTAAGTTGAAAGAAAACGTTTGAAATGAGAAATATATCGATCCCCTTCACGTGAAATGAAAATCATTGGAAATAAATCTGTGCAATTTTTTTTGTACATGGAGGATACTTATGGTTTGTGTATTACAGTTCAGTAAGACGCTGTGAGATATTTATTACATAGCAAAAATATTTTAAAACTCGCAAGAAATATGTTACACAAATTATTGAAATCCATTCATATTTCAAAAGTTATTTGGAAACATAATGTTGGTCCTATTTGAGATTTATTTGTCTATGGTATTGATGCTGAATTGACCTCTTTAAAAATGTTAACAAAGCGTAGTTTTTTGTTTACTTTGGTGCTTACGTAGTTAATTTTTAGTGAAACTTTCCTTGTAATGAAGAAATTAATATTACACATTTTATACGAAGAATGTTAACATGAAAAAAATTGGTTAAATGTAGAATTTATGAAAATTGTTTAATGACTTTTGGAAACAAAATTTTATGTCATTTTTTCCCCCCAAGAAAATTTTTTTTCTCGTTTTCAAGATTAAATCTGAAATCTAAGTTGGCCCTTGCCTTCTTAACCACTGTCCTTAGTAAATTTCTTGAATATTTTCTTGGATTTTAGAAAACCCATAATATTTCTTGTAATGGTTGACCACAGTATGAGGGCAGCCTGAATTCAGTATGCCAGGATAGCTTATTTAGTTGGGTTTTCAACTTAGCATTTTGTTTTAATCATAATTTAATCGATACTTGATCTAAATTTAAAATGTGGGGTGATACTTCTTCACTTTGCAAGAGTATATCACACTTAACACTGTTTCACTTTTATAAAAAAAAAAAAAAAAAAAAGATGTTTTATTACTAGATATTAATCTAACTACTATTATTAATAATAGTAGTTACCCCCTTCTTTCATTTCCGGTATATATATGTGTTATACCTATATTGCTCAAAAGCAGTCATTTTGACTGCTTGGGAAATTTTAAATAATCAAATGACTCTTATTATTGAATTGAGTATATTTTTTATATGACCAGTTTTTGTTATTACTAAAAGAAATATGAAGATGATATTAAAAGCACAATATTTATCATTTGTTTTTTGAAATTATTGTAGAAAAGTGTGGTTGTAATTGAAAAAGAGCATACAGGTTTAGGGCAGTTTTGCGAAAAGCAGATATTCAGGAAGAAAATTTTTCTTCAGAAAGAAAAACAAATTCAGGGGTGAAATAAGTTCACCCCTGAAGCCTCTTTTTTTTTTTTTTTTTCGGTTTGTTGTGTTTTTTGTTTGTTTCTTAAGAAGAGGGACTTCTGTCTAAATACTCTCGAAATCGGTAGCGTTTTATTTAAATTTACGCCAGACAAAGTCGTACTTCTGCCCAATTTTAAAATTTACGTTGGCGTGTTTCTAGGCGAATTTTTCAATGAAACTGAAAGAAGTGGCGAATGTAGCACTTCAGAAAATAAGTATTTATGAAAATACATTTAAAAAAAAATATTTTTTCATTTTTTCTGCTTTTTTTTGGTGTCTGCTTATCGAAATTCGACTGCATTTTCGTATTTTGGTCTTAGCCAACTTTGATTTTGGCTTTTATTGCTGAAGTGAATTTAAAGCTGCTCGCGATGTAGTATGCTCTTAAAGCCAATCTAAAATGCAGTTATTCTGAGTATTTAGTACAGCATTTGTCCGGGTACCATTATTATCGTTGCTAATAATGATTTCTGTTTCAGATTCAGTATAGATCACCAAGACATCAGTATTGAAAAATATGAATCTTTTTCCTTTTTTCAGGGAGACCGCTAGAAATCACAGTTGCTATAACTGGTCTCACTGCATTCATCCTCATTAAGGTGAGTTACTATATATTCAAATTCGTTATCAGTATTTTCTAGCTTGATGTAATCTTTGATTCCGATGTTATGAACAATAAGATAAAATTTAATATTATTTTCTGGATAATGTATATCAGATTTACTTAATAGTAAACTTGGTGTAATAACAGATAAAATATGCAGAGCACGAAAACAATCTCGAAAATTAGTAACGCGAATGGAAATGTATTTTATTAATTAATTTTTTTTATCAAAATTGTTTCTTTTTTTTATTTTCTTTATCGGAAATTCTGAAGAGGTTCTGTTTTTAAATATTTTGGGATTTTGCTGTTGAATCGAATTTTATGTTTCGTAAGTGCCAAGACCGTGATATTTAGTAAATAAAGTAAACACACAAAATGTTAATAATAATAAAAAAAAAAGTTTTGTAACTATTCTCAGTAAAAAAACTGAATATTGATATGATGAACTGAGAAAAGGCTGGGAGAAAAAAATGTTATGGCAACTTTTAACGCCGCATCTCGAATTCTAAAACGTAGTTTTTTGTTTGCTTTGGTGCTTACGTAGTTAATTTTTAGTGAAACTTTCCTTGTAATGAAGAAATTAATATTACACATTTTATACGAAGAATGTTAACATGAAAAAAATTGGTTGCTTTTAAAATTTTTATAATTTTGCTGTTGTATTGTAGATGGCTAAGTGCGAAGAAAATAGTGTTTAAAGCTAAAAATTCAAGAAAAGAGGGTTTAGTAGGGGAGAATATAATAGCAGACTGTAGACTGCAAGCTCAATGAGAGCGTAAAAAACCTTAACAAACCATGTTGGGCGACCGTTAAAATCTGAAATCTTTCAGATTTTTTATTTTTTTCAATTCTTTAATTTTGAGTCCTGTGACCTTAATCCTTTTGCACAGTCGTTAACAATTTGAACCCTTTCAGTTTTTTTTTTAATTTGGCATTTTTTAAAAATTTTTAATTTTTAATTTTTTTTAATTAAAATTAAATTTTTAATATAATACCTTACTTGTCATAGTCTGAGAGCACGGTTGTGCAGTGTGTTTTTCCTTGGCAAAAATTAAACCCAAGATGCAACTGCCAAGAGAGATGGCTTTGAAAAGACTATTTAATATGTTTATCTTTTTGAGTTCCAAATACGACTTGATTGATTGATTGATTATTGAATTAGACAAAGCATACAAAGGCTATTTTTAAAGTTCGCATACTTAAAACTAGATTGCCCAAGGAAGTCATTTTGACTGCTTTTTAATTTCAATTAGAAAAAAAATTATGTATATAATGACACAATTTCTTAGAATTTTGTGACTTTTTGTACAACATATAAATGTGTTTATTAATAATAGTAGTTACCCCCCCTCTTTCATTTCCGTATATATATATGTGTTATACCTATATTGCCCAAAAGCAGTCAAAATGACTGGGAAATTTTAAATAATCAAATGACTCTTATTATTGAATTGAGTAATTTTCTTATATGACCAGTTCAGCTCTGTATTGAAATAACAGTTTTCATTTTTTTTTTTTAATTATCGTCACATGATAACATACAAGTGCGTGATAAATTGTCGATTTGGCGTATACTTGATAAGTTGCAGTTTCTCAATAAGCTAAAGTAGTACTTGTTATTTGAATCTCAGTGAATATACAAGCTGTGGAAGAAATATCACGACCGATAACGTTTGCACTAGCATGTCACTCGCGACAAAATTATTGGCCAAAAAACAACTCTATTTGGGACTATTAACAAAATCAGCCAAACAAACGAAGGATAACATGCCTCGTTTTTCCACTCTGCTGTATAAATCAGAGAATTGTGTTCTTACAATATATAAAAGCAAACCAAATAAAAGAGTAGCCGTTTTAAGTTCTAAGTATAAATTTGTGAAAATTGATAAAAGTAACAAAACAATGTTACCGGAATCTATTCAGTTTTATAACAGCACAAAATTTAAAGTTGACATGACGGATCAAATGGCCAGAAAATATACAGTAAAAGCTAGTTCTCGTAGATGGTCCCTCCAAATATTTTTCAGTATTTTAGATTTGGTTGCTATAAGTGCTTGGATCCTTTACAAAAAAGCGACAGGAATACAAATACAACGAAAAGAGTTCTTTCTCAATTAGCAGAACAGCTTTCCACCGAATACAGAGCTGCAAGAGAGGAAAAGTCATCAGAACATGAAGAACCACAAAGATCAACAGCAATCAACAGCATCAAATGCAACCCATTCTAACAAACGCAAAATTTCTTAAGTACGACTTTGCCACTACAACAAAACAAATAATATATATGAAAAATGTCAAAAGTATGTTTGCGAAAGATGTAATATAAAAAGGATTTCCACTTTCATTTGCAAAAAATGTACAAATAATAATGCATAAATTATTTTTTTCCAAGTGAAACCAATTTTAATTGTTAATATTTACTATTAACATGTTATATAACTGTAAATAATATAAAAATATTAAAAATTAATTTTAAATAAATTTTACACATTAGTTATTCTTTCACAATGCAGTCATTTTGACTGCTTCTGGACAATATAGGTACAGTCAAAAGTCGTTAATCCGGACTCGTCGGGACTTCGGCGATTCCGGATTATCGATTTTTCCGGATTATAGATCATCAGTTTAAATCTCGTAAGATGGCATGCAGAAATTCTAAAATTAAAAATATGAAACCGTAATTTATGAAATAAAGAACAATTATGATCTAAAGGGTATCAAAATTTGCAAAAAGAAAAAGCTTAATATTTATTTGTTTACTTTATTAAACATTTCTTTCAGTGTAAGTTGTTTAAGTTTTGCTTCGTTTCATGTGATAATACTTTCTCTTTAATTTTATTAAACAGACATAATTTCTTGTTCAGTTACAAAGTCCCGTTGTTCAAGTCCTCTAACTGCTGTGTCGAGAACACCGACTAATTTGTCAATTGAAATTTTTTCGTTTTCACTAACCTCTGTCACTTTCTTCGCTATCGGAAGCGAATTATAATGACGAGGAACTTGTTTTAAATCATATCAAAGACGGAGCACATCGAGATGAAATACTAATTTAGCTAAGGAATTATAGCCAAATAAAATAAAAACATCTGCCCTGAAGATGAAGGATAGTGCTGACAGATCAACTTCCAAATTCATTACGCGCCCGCCGCGGCGATCCCCCCGCCGAGCAGCGTGAAATTGATAAACAGATTTCGGATTTCAAAACATACTTTCGCTTTAGATCCTTTACATATTAGCAAATATATATCGGAATCGGAAATTCTATTTGATATAATCGAAAGTTTAAGCTTACTTTTATAAAATTGCTCTTACAGTCTGCAAAAAATAATAAGCCGGATCCAATTCGAAAATTAAGGAACAACGCAATCATCAACATTAACTGAAATAGATAATTAGATAATTTTAGCTTATACGTCCATTATACATAAAACGCGCACGCGAAAACGTATTCTGCACTTGCGCACACTCATATGCGCAGTCGTAAAAGGTCTTACGCGCACGCGTAAACGCCTATGCGCATGTGTCAACGCGGCGCATGCGCAGAAAGTTTTTAGTTTTGAGGTCCGGATTATAGATCATTCCGAATTATGGGTATCCGAATTCACGACTTTTGACTGTATATACTAAGTTTCAATCTTTCTAGTGTTACGTTTGATGCTTTTGAGGAATAAGTTAATTGTATGCGTTTTTAGTAGATTGTCTTCTCCTCCCCGATAAGATGAATTTAAAGTTCTTAATAGGAACATTTTATTTCTTAGAGATTTTGTAAGATAAAGCTTGAATAATATAGTATTATCAGATATCTAGTAAACGAAATCAGATTTAAATATGAGGAACGAAACCAGAAAATTAAACTGTTATTTGTTAAAAGATGTTGAACGTGATGAAGTCCTCCTCCCGAACATGTCCACATGTAAGCTCGAATTTTGAGTTGCGGATTTTATATTTCGTATATAACTTTAGTAAATTCTGATCAACAAATTGAACGATGTGATATCGAGCAGTAGCAGCACTGTACGAAGTAAAACATTTTCACCTCCAGCACGCGAACTGTCTGTTGGAAATTCTAAAGCTATGCTGTTTTTAAATATTTTGTGATTTTGCTCTTGAACTGAATTTTATTAGCGTGAGTGCGAAGAACATAATGTTATGAACATCAAATTGCAGTAAAATATTTATAGAAGGTTGGGAATTCGGGAAGGAATACGAATTTCTTAAAGCGATAGTATATCAGCGACGCTAACTGCCGTAGTAAAGGACCCGGGTTAGAATCCCGGAGAAGGCATGGATGTTTGTAAATGTCCAGCATGGGGGGCGCTCTAAATATGCGGCGAGCCGAAAGTGCTTTCGAGAGGTTGGTGGTAGTGGAAGAGGTGTATAAGAACGAAGGCGTATTGTGCCCTGTATGGTGCTCAAGGCTTTTACCAACGACAGGCGCCATCTTGCACTCCTTGCCACGATGAATTTCGTGGGTTTGTTCTGATGTTACTGTCAGACAAGTGAGGTAAGTCACACATATAAGTTCTCCTTTCCTGTATGGGACACACCAGCCCAGCGGCCGAGCGGCGATGTCGCTGAACACTGGTAGTTCGGCCCGAGGTTTGACTCTCGCGAACGAGTTGGCTGCATGGGCGTTTCGTGTTTTTCTCCATGTGTAATGTGTATACGAGCCAGTTTCCCTTAGAAAGACCTCCATGAAACATCTCTCCTCTTAGGCAGATAGCCCTGGAAGCTGTACCGTAATTAACCCAAGCAAACCAAACCTTTCTTATATGTATTCAAGAAACTAGTGCTTTTTTGCGGCACTTCTTTTGAAACCAATTAAATTCATTGAATCTAAAGTTGTAGTTTCATGAACACCATATTACCCGAAAATATGTATCTTACAATTTATGTGATATATTTCGAATATGATGTGTATTTTAAATTCCTTCTATTGCACTGTAAACATAATTTTCATTACATTATTTGTTAATTTGTTGAAACCGGGGTTTA